CTAATGCCCTAGGAGGCAAGAAGAGGGTTTAAATAATTAGCAAGGATTTTTTTTACCTCACTAAATTCTTCAGCCAGAAATTTCCACATGAATTTTGGACTTTGAATCCCCTTTCCTATCTTGTGTTACACGAAGACACAAAGATTCATATGACTGATCACCTCTTGGTAGACAGACCCTATTTTGCTTGGCGTTGTTCAGACACWGAACAAAATGACATTACTTCACCAGCTCTAAGGCAACAGAGAGATGGAAACAAATGGGCAGAACAGGGAAAAGGAGACAACATTTGTCAGTCTGACAGGCAGCAGTCTCAGCAAACCATCAGGGTGACTGTTGTCAGAACTCTACAGGCATCACAGAGAGGAATATCAAGGGTMGTGACAAGACAGACCATGACAAAGCTGCTCCCAGATGTTAACGCACAGCCCTTGGCAAATGGGAGCAGCAACAAAAAGAACTAGCAAGATGTTTGCTTAAAAATCATCTGTGCTGCTTTCGCTACCTCCTTTACACACAACACAATTTCAATGTCCTGCTCTTRCCACAAGTAACTAAGATAGTCAAAGTCTGGGAATGAAAAAGAAAACTGGGAGTTATGTCTAGAAAAGACAAAAACACAGTACAAAGAAGGTATCAAATCTGGCTGACAGAACAAAACACCTTGTTCTTCACACACTGCCAAATTCCCTGTGCCTCACCACCTTACTGAGCAAATGAAACACTTGGAACTCCGAAAATGCACAACACCATCCCATTATACAGCAAACTGCAGCCTATGATCTGTTTCAAGGGAATTTCCTCGTATCAACACTCAAAGGATTCTCTTCCCTGCAAAACTGGTTCCTCTGTGTGATGTGGACGTGCATCTGTGTGCATGTATGAGCTCAAGTGATAAGGAGAAAAAATAGTAACTGTGAACYAAAGAGGGCAAGAGCCCAGGGATCYRCAGTGCCTTCCAACCTCCATCACTTGGCACAAGGCTCTACCAGATTGTACCTTTAATTTCAATTACACAATTTTATGCTGCAAGTCAATTTGCATGGTTCCCAAGGAGATAAGTTTTTAAAATCTTTTCTGGAATCCACTGATAAAAAATTGGGGAAACTAGTATAATGAGATATAATGATGAATTAGTCCCTATTGAAAAGTTATCTTTTACTGGGCCAATCAGGAAAGACGAGATAATCACTAAACATTTTGTATTTGCTTTTCTTTACTATTATCTCCACCTTCCTATTTTCACTGTGCCTAGGCAGAGCATTAGCAATTTTCTATCTTTTACAAACTATCAAACAAGGATAAARGATTTGAAAATATCAGGTTACAAGTAAACAAGAATAATGCATATTTCCTATTTATGCAGGTACACACAGTAGGTAAAACAAGCATATAAAATACAGAATCAGGAACCAATAGAGTTGGAAAAGACCTCTAAGATCAGCAAGTCCAAGCCAGCACCACTGTTTTTCATCACCAAACTGCATCCTCAGGTGCCACATCCACACACCTTTTGAACACTTCCAGGGACAGCGGTTCCTGGACCTGACCACCCTGTCAGTGAAGAATTTYYTCCTAATTTCTATTGCAAAAAGAGGTCCCYTGGCACTTCTATTATTCTATGGCACTGCTGGCTGTGAGTGGAGTAATTGCATCAACACAGTGACCACCCATGATAAACAGGAAACAAGACCTGAATGGAGAATTGTAACCTCTGTGTGAGGCATGGGAAGGAAGGAAGGAGGACAAGACCATGACATCTTAAAAAATTAACAAAAAAGGAAAGATATTTACTGATTTTTTTTAAGCTTCATCTTGGGTAATCATTTCTTCMTAAGAATACCTGGCATTTTCCTGGTTTCCAACACTGTGCTAAACGTTAAAAATGCACTGAATACTGTGCATTTTGTGTGGACATCTTYCTTTTCCCAAGTGAGCCATGACAGATGTAGCATTGCATTTGGTGACTGCCGAGGTACTTYCTGTGGGAAACCATGGAAATGCAAAAGGTTACAGCAAAGATGCAGAAAGCAAGGGAGGAGAAATTGGTCAAGCAAAAAAGATGCTTTAGGCACCGTAGGTCTTGTTACAGTACTTCTTGTAGGCACATTAAGATTCACCAGGATATTCAAAATGACACTGGAGGAATGTGAATTTAATTCAGGAATGCCCAAGTGACGATKGGAAAAGTGGGAATCATTCAGCTTAGCAGCAAATAAACATGGTTTCCCAAGGGATTCTTCCTCCCCYTCCACTAACAAGCATTTCAATGAATACTGATGAAGGTCTGCWGAACTAATCTAAGTGAGCTTGTGTAAACTGTGAATTTGGATTTGCAAGTGCTCCAGTTTCTAAGAAAATGTAAAGGAATCCAGCAAAGCCCAGTCCCAAACCAGATGCTGTTCTGTCCTTTTGATATACTGGGTCTGATAAGAAAAATCTGGTCTCCTAAGGCAACAGAATGTTTTCCATCTATCCTATGAATTACAAGAAAAAAATTAATTTTCATCTAGTGCATATGGATTTCCCCTTGTGTCTGTAAAATCAGATAGACAATTATAATTACTAGAAACACATTTAGAGAAAGTTCAGAATTTCTTTAAAAGGGCCAYTTCTATTTCATTCCCTACACATATAATTCAATCTGAGTCATTCTTGTATGAGAAAACTTGATTTATGCATTTAATGCCCTCTTGTTCTTCCAAGGAAAACCAGATTCAGTAATTAATAGCTACTGTRTCAGACCAGAAACTCAGGCTCTGCGTGCATTACCTGTGTGCCTTGAGATTGTCTCTGACAGCATCCAACAAGGTATGAGCTACATTTCAAGCTCTTCCCCAGAAAAATTTGCAACATTTCTTTCCTGAGTTCTCAGCCACCTGCAGCCAACAGGGTCCTAAATGCAACCCTTTCTTCAACAGRGATCTGTTCTCCTGACACACAGGGGAGCATCAGGATTTCCTGAATCCATTATTCCTCTCTCAAATTTGCTTGAAATTGAGCAGGGTGTTAAAGTACTGTAGGAAATACTGCCAAGAAAAGGCAAATCAGGCTACCAGAGAGCCTTTAGCACTAACAAGAGAAACAAATCTGTCTCTCTTTTCACTTAAAATGGCTGATTTTAAGTAGCACTRTTCAGATAGAAAAACCTTTGTTAATTGAAATAAGTTTTGAATGGTTTTTTCAGACATGGTTAAATACATAGAAACTATGCCTACCCCATGTACACAGAGACTTTTTAAAGGAAATGAAAAGCTCAATTACCTTACTTTTCCTCAAACACATCTTGAAATTCTTTTGTTGTTTACATGCTTTTATATTATCACATTTTAAAAACAGGCATTTCAGTTAATTTCAGAGCATTATCCCAGACTCTCATTTTCTTTAAAGGAGCATCTTAAAATGAAAGTCAACATCCAATTTTCAGTAGATTAAAAAAAATACACAACCTCTCTTGCAGGTTTCTTTCAATGCAACTGCCATTCCTCCAAGCAAGTCCTATAGTGTTTCCAAATAAGTTTAAAGTAATCCAATTTATTTTGATTCTAGCAAATTGCTTGCTTAAGTGGCACTGTATCCTTAAGGTGTGATATCCAGTTATCAATTGTAAAAAATACTTAGGATTCCCCAGCACATTAAGTATCTCTACTAGCAATAACTAGAAGCACTGGATACAAGGGTCTACAGAAATTATATAAAACTATAATTCAAGAAAGATAAAGAAAACAAGGAACAGTCTTCCACAACCATATTTATCTGTTGTTGTTCAGCTACAAAATAATGAAAAACCTTTGGTAGAGATGTTCTTTCCTGACTAGACCAGAAGCTTTTAATACTTTCAATTACATATCARATACTTTAAAGTTCACAAGTAGTTTGTAACAACCTTCAGAAATACTTTGCAACTCAAACTTGGCTTCTTCTACAGGTAAARGCAGACTTTAACAAGGCAAACAACAAGGAAATAATTACTTGAAATGAGCCCTGTGAAGCTTGTGCTGCTGCAGCTTGGAATGGTCACAGCTGAATGCTCATTCTACCTGATTCACCAAAAATCTTGCCCGGTGTGGAAGTGTCTTCCTTCTCCAGACTGGTTTTCTTCCTGGTTTGTATTTTTTAAAACACACACTATTCTTGAACCTTGTGTTCTTCAGATAAGCTGAAGAATCCACTAATACTTGGGTGGTTCTGCTAGAGCCTCCCCTGAGCAGCAGCACGGAACCCCCTTACATGCTTGCACCAGTATGATGATACAATTTGGGWGAAGATTATGCACAAGCAGACAAAAACCAAAAAATTAAGCATCTGGGAGACTAAGCAGAAACCTTCCCAAGGAGACCAAAGTTCACAGCATTATGTTGGTTATTCACTGCAAAATACRGGCRGTCACCTGAAGCAAGTGTCTGTGAKCTTTGCATTATAATGATGAAACGTGTAAAATCTTTTAATAAATTTTTCATCTATTCAAACATAGTCAATGTGTCAGAATTGTCAGAACTTCACTATGAACTTTTACTCCTTTTAAAAATACTTTTAGGTTCMTTCTTCTTTAGTTGCAGCTAGCAAGCCCTGAAATGTCATTGCTACAAGCCAATCTAAATTTAAACTCTTCTGATTTTTGACCCAGGGGAATAAACTGCAATCAAATACAAATTGCAAAAATATTCAGCACTATAATTCAGTTTGCTTGAACCTGAGTTTACAGTCAGTCATCTCTGGTTTCTGTTTTTATATCTACTAACCAAATCCCACCCTTCCTAAATAAAAGATGAATCTCAGTCTGTAAACAGTTCTGCCTGGGTGTTTTACTGTATTTTACGCTCCCACTGCATTTCATGATCAGTTTTTCCACTTTCATATCCTTCAGAGAGAACGCTCCCCCCAACTGCTGCCAGTAATTTTTCAGATATTTACTTACAGCAAATGCTTCTCAATGACCTGTTGAATAATAAAACTCCACACGTACATAATAAAATTAATGTACTGTTGATGGTTCCTACCAGGTCACGGCGAAGTCGTGCACCTTCAAAATGCTGCTCAGTTTATACTCTCCAGATTTCACGGGTTGAACATAATCTTTAGTAAGCTCAAAGAATGGGGTCCCTTCAGTAGGGAAATCTGAATCCTGCAGAAAAACAATATTATTAATTCTCAGAAATGCTGCATAATTTCACACAATGTATCTAATATATTACTATCTCAAAAACACAAATTTATCTTATTTTTCTGCTCTGTTTTTTCTCCTATATTCAATTTTCATCATTATTTTAATTGCTGTTGTCCTGATTTTAGTCATTTGGATACATATGGTTAAAACTGACTGCAGGCAGAAAAATTTAACACTAATAGGCAGTTTTTTTCAAATTGTATTCCTACCAGTTAACTTCTGGGCAGTTACATCCATACAGTATTGCTTTAGAAAGAGATCAACCATCAGTATTAATCATTACCTGTAACCAAATAAAAATTCACTGTTTATACCAGCAAAATCCCTCCTTCCCCCAAAACAATACAAAAATGTCACTTGCATGGTTCAACACGCCCGTACTGGGAAAGAAGAAACTCGACGCTGTGGATACAGCAAGATATAACAAAAAATGGCAAATAAAATTTTGCTGTCATTTATAGTCATAGAAGAGTTTGTGTAACAATGTATGTGACTAAACTTCAGACTGATACTTTTATCATGAATATCATCTATGTACCTGCTATTGGAATAAGTTATGACACTAAAAAAGAAAGCTGTTAAAATGTTAGTATAAAACCCCTTAAATTAAATTCAGCACAATCTCTGGTTTCAGTAACTATTTTGYGGAAGACAATCAAAAGTTAAGTAAAAATTCAGGTAATATAATTTTTCTTAAACAGATGCAAACCAAAACATTTTCARGTTCTTTAGTTGTAAGTTTAAAACTAGCAGTTTAAGACAAAGTGATCTACCCTGTATTGTGCTGACTATTAGAAGTTAACTTGTATAAACTTTATATTAGACATGAATTCAGAATGWACTCTGAAGATAAAATTATCTACATGGAACAGGAAACATGGAAATGCATGCTCTGCAGACTTCTCTCCTGCGACAAAAGTGACAATAATCAAGAAAAACATCCTCATCACCAGATAATGAAAAGAAAAAACAGATGCTGATTGAAGTTAATTGCTCAGCAAAGATCCATGGATAATACCCTTAAAATCTACTGCAGGACTGGATTCCCAAGGATTGGCATCCACTGGATTTCCTAAAAGGTGTAAATCTTTCTGATAGGCATAGAGAATAAAAAATATTGAAAACCAACAGAATACTAAGATATTCCGAACTCTTAGCCCTGTTTTCTTCAGCTCCAGCAATTATCTAGAGGGACAAGAGGCACAGAACTATTGCTGGACTGTAGCAGCTTAGAAGAGGAAAACCTGGGGCCCTAGACCAAGCAGAGATGTTCTTGCTATTAATGACGAACCATACTACAGGCTGACTAGTCAGCATTCCTGCCATCAGGCAGAGGGGCTGGGGTTAATTAACATAATAAACCACCTCAAACAGACAGCAGGCTTGAGCTTTCAGGCTCTCCACCAAGAATACAGATATCCTGGAGCCAGGACTGGCTCTGCCACGTAAGGACAGAGGGGCTGCACTGTGAGAAGGATTCTGGATGGAGGGAAACACATACATCAGCTTTCCAAAGAAAGGAACTAGGAAAGCATTCAGCATGGGTTCCAGAAAGAAACTGCTCCTAGAGAGCAGAATACTTGCAAATGGTTACTTGGGCACCATCATCTGCCCTTAGCATTTACAATCAGCTGGAAATAACTGTCTGGGAGTTTAGGCACATGCAACAGTATTGAAAACTCATAACATGAGAATACCTTCAGCTTTACTGGAGAGAATTGATATTACATCTTTATACAGAATACAGAGGGGGTAGTTTCTGCCTGTATGTGCATGAGGGTCTTAAGTAYACTTAGGTATCAAGTTCTTTGTAATATTTAACTGTGTGCTTGAAAGTAACAAATGGAAAAATCCTAGAGAAACTATTTTCCCTATTTTCCATGGGAGGTTTGCTGCATGAATTGCATACCATGGCAAAGATTCCATATTCTTCAAAAGACCTTTCTTGTAAGTGTAAYGCCAATAAAAAGTCAAGTTATGTGCAGCTTATCGTGCAACCTCATTTTCCATTGGTGTGGTCTGAGATATTTCCTAAGATTAATCAGCAGACTAGGAGATTTATTACTAACTCTAATTAACCAAGGTAAAAAGCTTTATTAAAAATAGATTGTCATTAAAGAATGTAAGGAGGGTAACTGTGCACAATATATTTTAAGGACTGCGCTAGTCATTACAAACCCAATTCCCAACATACCACAGTTTGCTGAAGACTTGGCTGATGGTTTCTCCTTGCAACATTTTAGGACATGCTGCTGTGAGAAGCTTCAAAGGAGACTGAAATTGCTGTACTCTTTAAAATGCCCATCAACCACTAAGATTAAGGAGGGAATAAAATCACTGTATTTTAATCTGAAAATGCACACACAGAGCAGGGATAACCACTAAGTCTTTTTAGTATTTGCACTAAAATTGACAGCAGCCATCATGTTTCCTGTTAATTTGTAGGAATGAGCATACAGCAAATTTCACAACCACAAAGTAGCAAAAGAATATCAGTTTGTTTCCCATTTCAATGGACTGTGGCTTCAGTCATAGGCACAGCCTARCAAAGCCACTCCAAAAACCATGGAACAGCAGGAACTTTCAATATTGACTGACATCAGACAACAGCCTTTCTTCTCTGACTGGGGAGGAAGACAGAAACTCAAACAACGGAGAGCAAATGATCAAAGTCATCCYTTGCCTAACATAGATACTAGCAAGCTACCTATTTCTGGAAAAAAAACAAAAGTGATAAATATGGAACATTCAGAATCRGGAAATAAATATGTAATGTACAAATACAAAAAGAATAAAGATTACTTTAATCCCAAACTGTTAATCCAGCAAGGAATATGTTTGTAGCTAAAGTTCAAAATTTTATAGAATTGCATGCCAATTGTGTCCCAGTAATAATATTTCTGCACATCTCTGAAGCCAGTTTCAAGAAAAATGCRTAGATTTTCTGAATTTATGAAAAATTAAGATAAGTCTTCAGTATTTACTATACACAGACTAAAAAGCTAAGTAAAGATAACAACTGAAGATGCCCACAGTCYCAATATGTATCAGTGCCTTTACTCAACTCTTAAAAGCTTTGTATACTCCTTGTCTCACAAATTTTTACCTTTCAAGACTTCAAGACACATCTTAACAACTAGAATTATAACATAAAAAAGGCATAAAAACCATCATACATTTTTGCAAATTGTTCTCATTCACTTTCTGGAACAAAACCAGTTAGTAAATGCTATCAGACTTACTCATTTCAGAGTGAAACAAGCCTCGGAAATACAAGGCTCTCTGAAGAGAAGTGACAAAGTCTTGCATTTTTCAGTAGAAAAAAATCCCCAGATACTGCTTCAGGAGACAGTGCTGTAAATGATTGCTGTAGCATTGAGAACATATAGTAGAAAGAGAGTAATATAAAAATGTTTTTTTCTGTAAGTGTTGTGAAGACATGAAGTATTTCTGAAAGTGCAGATTTTCCACTCTTTGCAGTGATAATCCTGTGTTCTACTAGAACAGGAGACTTTGTCTCAGTTGAGATAATTCATACCTATGGTTCCTACTGGTGTGAACAGTGGTGACACTTGTCACAGCCAGATGAAATGTTGATTTCAGTAGCTCCCCAAGCATGCACCTGGTAGAAGTCACAGCATGACCTTTTTCCCCACGTACAAATATTCCTCACTGCAGATTAAATGGGGTATTTTTATCCCAAAAAATTGCTGCAATGTAAGTGTTCAATAACTAATACAAAGATCGCTCCTCTCCCCTAAGAAATTYGGGCAATCAAGTTTCATCACTTAATCCTTATTCTATTATTTCCAGTTGCTAAATCATAAGGGTAAAAGAGAATCCATTACACAAGTTGAGACCTTGCGTAACAAAGCTTATGAAACATCTGCAAACATTGACTGCAAAGTCTGATGTTCCTTCAGCATTGGCAAGGATCACATGCRTGCCAAAATTCAGAAAAACGTGCTGTGTGCTGAGGAGCCAAAGCAATGTCCTTTGGTTGTGTTCACTCCTTTATCTGTCACGTACAAGACATTTGTACTATGACAAAAACCACAAACCTACTAAGCTTCTCTTTCATATCCGTATTAAAAAAGGAAGTAAAGCACTTTCCRCCTGTGACATTAAACATCTATTACTCTATCATCAAAGGTAAGGAACAGAACATTCCAAAAAGTGTCCTAGGAAGAGTGTCTACCACCCAAAACCCATCTGAATGCATGTCCACAGTCACTGATGATGATAAATGGTACATGGTCCCTTGCCCAAATTGTCCCTTTGAGAGAACATTTGTGTTATCCGAAATTACAGATACAACAATCAGGCACTCATAAAAAGTTGCCATGACTCTTGGGCCATTTACACCAAATATTTCCATAGCTCTYAGAGCAGAAGACAGAAGGCTACAGAAATCAGGATTGTATGAAGGCAAAAAGGCATTTCACAGGTTCATATACAAAAAACAAACCAGAAGAGAAAAGAAATAGCTTGCCTTTCTTTTGTTTGTTTTTTTATTTTATTTTTTGGTTGGGTTTTTTTCCCTTTTAATTAAAGAGGCTGAACCATAAGAGCATTTAGTGATTTACCTTAGATCAATCTGAAATTCACCAGGATAGCTTGTAAACTGAACTCATATCTTCTGAGTCTCAAACCATTACTTGATTTTTTTTTTAATAAGATAAAAACCTTGTCTTGATAAAAACTGTCATGCATTTAASAAAATTTACCCTTAAAGTTCTTAGAAATATCTCTTTTCTGTCCTGTCCTGAATTTTTTCAGTAAGACTGCCTTTTCCAATAGCAGAGCTGTTGAGAGCTAGTCTACAGCTTTCTTTTTCCTCGAGAAAGACACAAGAGTCTCATTTGTCAAAACATACAGAAGGCAATGAATAGATAAGCGGAACTGATCTAAATCATCTCACAGCAGAGAAAAATGTAGTAGAGTTTAATAGAAAACAT